TATACGAATATGGAGATAAGTACAAGGATGAAAAATATAAAAATATATCTGGATACTACTGCAATCTATATATACTCCCCGGCGATATAAAAAGCATAGAATGCTATGCAATGAACTGCGAGCTCAAAAAGCAGGAAAATGGCAGCACTAGTGTTGTGTGGTATGCAAGGGTGCTAGGAGATGTAGATGAGTATACACACTGTGTGCCAAGCGAAGACTTCAAGAAAGAAACAGCTTTTAGTGATTTTCATTTCTTTGTTTCAGCAATAGAGTCAAGAGAATACAACAGGGATAGTAGTTTGCAAAGCTTTTGGCTGAGCAACACTAGCCCAAACAATAGTGGAGACGGCCAGACATTTACAATAAACGATTTGCTGGAGGACAGAAAAATTGAGACGCTTCCAGGATTTAAGAACATGGAAAACCTTAAGAAAGACCTTATTAGCGTAGAAAAATACCTAAAAAGGCTGGAAGACTATAAGATGATTCTTGAAAGGCTGCATGATACAGACCCCGAACAGCTAAAAAAGAGAAAAAAGTCATTGCAGAGCATAATAAGAGAACAAAAAAGTCTGCTAAAGGCGCTGCAAATAGAGCTACACACGAAGGTATCTAAGAGGCCAAAAAACACAGAGATAAATCTTATAGTGTTCCGAAACATGAACTCAACTAGGTCTAACCTAGGAGCACACAACGAGATTCTTGATGTTTTTATTTCGACCTACCAAAAAAGGCATTGATAAGTATAACAATAAATAGCACTCTTAAACGTAGAGCATTTCTTATTTTCACACTTGTTTTTATGCAGTTATATTCATGATGTTCGCGGGCTAGAGTTAATTCCTGGCAATGCAGCTGGTACTATGCTGAATGTGCATAGAGCAGTGATAATACATAGATAGATAAAATAATCAATAGGGTGCATCCATCTCTGGGCAGGTAAAAACATGGAACTTACTCCTCAGAAAGTGTATGCACAAATTAGAGCGTATAAGGAAGTGTGCCTTAATGAAAAATTATAAATAAAAAAATGATATTTTTTGCATGAAGGATCAGAAACGGAAAAAAATACTGAATGCAATAGGTACAATGCTTATTTTTCTTATTGCAGCGTGCAGAGGAAGTGGAGAAGCTTTTAATGAGAAGACATCCAGTGGTGTAGATTCCGCAAAGGGAAATAGCCCTGTTCGTGATATAGCAGAGCTGGAGAGGCAGATACAGCAGTTTCTAATGGAAGCCAGCGCAGCACGGCAGAGAGACAAAAGAAACAATGCTGATCACTCTGCTGTCGATCTATGCATAGACGGCCAAACAAAGAGTAGACGCAGGTCTCTTAGAAAGAGGCAAAGCGCAGGCAAGCAGTCTGGAGAACAAGAGAGAACAGCAGACTCTCCTGTAGATGAAAGTGCATCTAGCACAGAAGAGGACAGTTCTGAAGAAGTTGCAGGAAAAAAAAGAAAAGCAGATGCAAAAAATGGTCCTGGTGCTAAATCTACGTCCCAACCAAAGGTGCTAAATAGTGAGGAAAAGAAGGCCAGAAAGGTAACAGGGTACAAAATTGACATATGGAACAGCTTAAGACTCACAAATAAGAGAAGAATGTCCTACAAAGCACAGCACAAGACCGTGTACAGCAATGAACACAGAGACTTTGACGAATACATGGCCCGGGAAATAACGCATGTTTACTACAAGGAGAAGATCGAGAAAGACATAAAAAACTTTTCTAAAAACGTGGCTACTCTAATAGACCAGAATGCGCTCTATTTCTTTATTGCCAGCAGAGCCATAACTGTGGTTCCAAAGACTAGAGACCTTTTGTGGCTGAAGGAGCTATTTGAGAAAGATAGTGCAGAAGATGAGGAGTATAGGACAATGCTGGAGAGTCTTGAGGGATACTATCCTGGCGTGTTTGGAGACATGCTGGCATACGTGGAAGAGCACAAGCCAATGCGGACATTCAAAAGGTTCCCTTTAACCGAGTGGGCTGAGACCTTGGGGGATATCTACGTTCAAAAAGCCCTGGAGATAAACTCAAGCATGATACTAGAGCAGAACAAGATCAGCAAAGTGGGCAGAAGGTACTATGCTCTGTCCTATGCTCTGAGCATGATTCTTGCGCTGCCTGAAGTGCACGAAGACCTTTTCAACATCAGCCCAGCCTTTATAGAGCGCACACAGATCTCTTATAACCCGAGAGTAAATAAGCAGAGCCACAATGTTCTGCTAGCTATGCGCAACATGGTGAAAGAAGCAGAAAACGAGAGCGAGAAAATAGAAAAAGAATACAGAAATATTTACAGCGCTCTTAAGATTCTATGCAATAGAGATGCACAGAAAGAGCCGACAGTGCCTGAGCTGTACAAGGACATATACACAGTCCTTGCAGATTTCTACGAGAAAGCGGAAGTTTTTGACGAGAAGGAGTATATCCTGCTGGGGAAGAGCGCCATAAAGCACCAAAAGTATGCTAAGTGCAGCGCAACCTTTGAGTTGGCCCCAGGCAAGGAGGATCCTATAAAAGACTGCAATTTTGAGCACTTATTTGAGACGAACAAGTGGGACATTGTGCCCAGCACAGAACCGCACTATCACGTGTACTATGTAGACAATGGAACACACCAGTCCAGAATGCTGGGCATGCCCATGTATAGAGACGAGGAAGGAAAGGAGCACTATCTGCACACGATCAGTGACATAGTAAGCCACGTGGAGAAGCTGTACGAAATAGAGAAGAACTCTAAAACTATATACTCGTTTAAAGTAAATAAAAAAACTAGAAAGTGGTCGTATGTTAGAGAAGAGGAGAGAGGTCTGACGATGAAAGACTTCGCAGGGTATGAGATGGTCTTTTATCGCATTAAGGAAAACATAGCAAAAACAAGGTTTACATTCGCAGAGTTTAGGCCGCTAAAGGGCTGTGATAGGGACAGCATTTGCATACCGCTGTTCCTTACTCCTCTTATGCGGTCGGCTGTGGAGATAGGCCCTTTTCTCATGAAAGACATTCACAATGTGATAAGCTTGATGGAGCTTGTGGATGCAGCACCTGATGTCTATGAGTTCAATAGCAGGTACAAAAAAAAGGATGAGTGCAAGGATAGTGAGGATAAAGATGAGGACATGGAAAAGAACGGCTCTGAAGATAGTGAAGAGCATGAGAATGGTGAAAATAATGACAGGTCTGAGAAAGACAGTAAGATTGAGCATGAATATTCAGACATGTATAGGTACTACAGCAACCTGTGCATACTGCCGGATGGCGAAAAGAAAGAGTCTCTCGACTGCTACATCATGGGCAGCGGAAAGCCTTCAAGAGTAGGGAACAGTGTTGTGCTTGAGTGGTATGTGAGAATGCCCAGCAGTGTGAACGAGTATATACACTGTCTGCCGAGTGATGCTTTTAGAGAAAAAGAAAACTCAGAAAAGCTTAGTGCTTTTATTGAAACACTGCAGTCAAGGGAGCACAGCAAGGACAGCAAACTGCAGAGCATTTGGCTGGAAAGTAGGAGTGTGGAAGATAACAGACTAAATATATGTGTCAAAAACATTTATATCTGGCATGTGAACATTGAGGGAAGTAAGGCGGAGAGCGCGAAGAAAAGTCAAAAAGACCGAGAAACAATCAAAAAATATATGAAAAAATCAAAAGACAAGTTTTGGAGGGAGGAGCAGGCACAGAAAATACTAAACACATTAGCTGCAAGGAATGAAAAAGAAAAACACGAAAAAATAATGAAGCTGCGCAATGTTACGGTTAAAAAAAGCTTTGCAAAGAAGAGGATAGAGATCTTGACAAACCAGCTGCGCGAAACAATGCTTAAGAAGCCAGACGAGCAGGCAGAGTTCATAGTGCTCCGCAATGTGAACTACAGCAAGTCCAATCTGGGGGCACACAACGAGATGCTTGATGTTTTAGTATCGTGGTATAACAATTAGAAGGAGACTTTGCAGAATAAATAGAGCTTGTCTGAATTGGTGTATTATTCTTTTTATCAATGGGTTTTGTAGGAGTATTAATTGGCTAAGCTTGCTAGTTGATTAATGCCTGTCAGTGCAGGGCTAATGTCTCAGAAAAACAAGCTCTGTAAGGAGTGTCATTTGGATGAAATAAAAAAGAAAATAAATAAATATTAAGTGTGTATGTGTACAGCTTTCTTACCTTTTTATTTTTCTTTTTATTGTTGATTCTTAGTAGACATGCAAAAGAAAATCTAGTAAAGTAGCTGTGAAAGGAGGATGATCAAAACTTAGATGTGTTTTATTTTAGATGCACCTGGTTAGAATCAGCCAGCTCATGGCCAAGTATCAGGGCTTTCCATTGTTCAATTGGCTGCTGTCCACAAAATGGTACAAATCATCAGAGCTAGCGTCTTTCACTGGCTTATTCTTCGAATTATAACGGTTAATGGATATAACTGATGTTAGCACAAAAAGACCAAAGCCTAGTGCTCCAATGCCCTTTAGGAGTTTTGAAGCTGTTTTTGGCGAAGAGGACTTTTTAGGCTCTTTTTCTGTATCTTCTTTCTCCTCTTCGTCTTCTTTCTCCTTTTCATCTACTGCCTCTACACCATCGATTACTACTTTTACGCCCAGTGTTTTTCCAAATTCTTTTATGTTTTCAAGTAGGTACTGTTTCTGAATTGGATCTGTCTGGCGTAAAAAGCATAGATTTGCAATGTTGCGGAGCTGTAGAGACTCTTTTTTGTAATCGCATTCCAGTGCGTATATTTCGTTTTCCAGGTTGTTAGCAGAAAGAAGTAAGCTTTCAACCTCTTCTTCGCTCTTTCCTTCTCTTATTGCCTGATATCGGTCTATTCTCTTTTCTTCCAGAGCTTCCTTTTTTGCTTTTATTTGTTCAGCCAGCTCGTCTTTTTTTTCGCCCACTCTTTTCTCTAAGCCTGCGCTGCCAGTTATATAGTCTCTGCAAAAGCCACTTAGATTGCTTTGTATCTTCAGCACTTTTGGCTCGCTTTGCTTGCCCAAGAGGTCGGTGCTATGTGCCATGTATTCTATTGCGTTAAATATGCCTTTGTTTGCAGCTTTTTCGTTTCTGATTTTTTCTATGTTCTCGATGATGGAAATAGCCACGCCCAGCTCTCTCATAGAGGAGAATACATCGGCGATTTTTTTGAGGATCTGCTTCCTGTTATTGGGGCTGGCTTCCAGTGCTTTGACATCTTCAACTAGCTTTTTAATTGCATCGTATTTTTTGTAGATAGTTGTCAGCCCGCGATTCACCGGGAGTATAGAATCGCCTCTGCGCAGAGTGTACAGATTTTCAAAAGTACAGTGTTCTTCCTGCGGCAGGTATTTCTTTAAAATAGCCACATCTCTGCCCTTCGAAATCAGAAGGTTTGCAAAATACTCGAACAAGTCTCTCTCCATGCTCTCTGTGGTGGACTCGTATAAGTCGTCCAGGATTGAGGGGTTTGAGCTGTCAACCTGCACTATGCACGTTCTTGAAGACAGGTCAGGGCTGTTATCCTCTGGGTCCAGCCTATCAAGTGCTTTGTTCTTGTCAGACTTTCTTGTTATTCCATGCTCTGCGCTGTATATAAGCGTGTTCGGCTGTATAAGCTCATTAGCTAGACAGAAGGACATTTTTCTAATTTCTTTTTGATTTTTACTCTTCAGTGCCCTGTATAAACCGTGCATGATTTTCACGCCGTATGGGTTGTGTGTAAAGTACTGGTAGATTCTGTTCTTGGCCAAGTCAAGGATTTCTTGCCCTTCTTCATCGCTTTCTGAGCCTCTTTCCATTTCTATGAAGTCAGTGTTGATCATGTTGTATAGCACGGCTAAATGCTGCGCTGAGTTGTTATATTCAAGAAGGTCGTCTGTAACTTTGATGGACTTGCATGCTTTCATTAGACCTTTCAGGTTTATTCTTATTTCAGCCTCTTTCATGATTCTTAAAAAATTTTATCTTGAGAAAGTTTAAATGCTTTTTGTCCATGGCACGTGTTTTATTACTGCAGACTACTGGTTAAGTTTTATAAGAGTGTTCTATTGGCTTGCAGCGCACTGACTCTCATTGCCTATTGGGCTCTAAAAGCGCTAAACCAAGTGTTTATTGATTTTTTTATTTGTCAAATGATTGGCCTAGTAGCATGTTCTTAAAACTCAGTAAATGTAGTATACTGGTAGCATGCTTAATGAAAAGTGCCAAAGAGTCTGCCATTTAGTAAACTGCTAGATATTCACTTGTAGCTCCAAGGAAAACAGTCTTAGTGATCAGAGCATTTGATTCACAGGCTACTAGCTTTCTAGTTTAGTGTAGGATCTTCTAATGTCCCAAAGATGCAATATGCATGCGAAAATTACTGTCCATTCATGTGCTGTAAAGTTGTGGTTTTTAGTTGTACTAAAAGATCCTGCCTGGAAGAAAGTGAAAATAAAAAGAGAATAAATAGTAAGTGTATATGTATATGTAGAATTTTACTTTTTAGTTTTACTTTTGTTGCCAATAGTTAAATTGTTCAAAGAAAGAGCTGTGCACGCAGCTATGCAGTGATAGTAGGTAAAGTAAATGAAATCTTGACAAGGCATAGCTGGAGAATAATGTTCAGAAAATGAAAGTGTAATGTTTAAACTTAAGCAATTTATTGTAGTTGCTAGCTAGCTAGAATTGAGGGGCTCAGCTTCCTTCTCTATATTTTTTAGTTGGAGGCTGCTCACAGAATGATGATGACTCTTCGCAGTTCAGTATATTTTCAACAGCAGCAGGATTCATTACATCATTCGCTGAGCGAGTAGATAGTGCCTGAGGCAATGTTTTGACGCCCACGCCAATGAAAATGCCTAGACCAAGCATTTTAAATAGGTCTTTTTGGGTGAATTTTCTTTCAGTAGGCTCATCTACTACTAGAGGTTTTCTTTCAGTAGGTCTATGTGCTGCTTCTAAGGGGCTTCTTCTAATAGGTCTATCTACTACTGCTTCTTTCATTTCATATTCATTAGGATAAGTTATTCTTTCTGGCACTGGGTCCGCCACTTCTACTTTTATGTTCCATGCTTTTCCAAATTCTTCCATCTTTTGAATTATGTGTTTTTTCTGAACTGGGCTTATATTGATTTTGAGACTTGCTTTCATACTGATGGTGTCTCGGATTCTATTTTCTTCTTTTAGAGCATACTTTAATAAAGATACTTCATTTAATAGATCAGAGGTAGAGGCAGGATTGTCTCTAAACCCTCCATTGTTTCCTTGAGCCATAGATCTCCTTTGATTTAGATGCTTTGGGTATAAAATTTCTTCATTATCAGCTATTTTTTTCTTTAATAAATCACAGTTGTTCTTTACTATATTCTCTAAACCGTTGTATCCATTTATATAGTCTTTTTTAAAGCTTTCTAGATCGCTAGTTACCCTTAGTACCTTTTCCCCAGCCCTATCCAAGAGAGCAGTCTTATTTGCTAGGTATTCCATGTAATAAATCATATTCTTTTGTAGTTCTTTTTCTTGTGCGATTTTGTGTATGTTAACGCTAATGGACCCAATTATTTTTAGCTCTTCTTTGGTGAACAGCTCACTGATTCTTGCAGTTATCAGCGATTTGCCACTAGAGCTAGATTTCATTCTTGAGTCATTCTCAACTATTCCGATAAGCTCTTGATATCTTTCATATATAATCTTCAGCCCGTAGTCTACCAAGGGCACATTAGTGCCTTCGTATGTTCTGGTGTATAGTTCGTCCAGAGAGTACTGCTCCTTCTCTGACAAGGACAGCGAGTATTTTCTTAAAATATTTCCATTCATTCTTCTAATTTCTGTATTCATAGAGCTACATATATAGCCCAAAAACCCTCTATCCAGACTCTCTTTGGTCGCCTCAAGAATCCTTTCCAGGCTTGAGGAGTCTGTGTAGTCGATCTCCAGTGTGTACATCCGAGGGCTTAGGCTGCCGCTTTTATTGCGCTGTACTATATCTTCTACTGTTTCGTTCTTATTGTAGTGTCCATATATTTCATGTTCTGGTCTGAATATAAACATATTTGAGTCTATGATTTGATTGGCTAAAGGGACAATCTTATCTCTAAGACGATTTTCATACATACTATTATATGAACTAGTTAAACTACAAATAGTACTTTCACCCCATTCATTGTATACAAAGTATTCTCGAATGGCATTCTTGACTATATCCAGGACGAGTTTCTCTTCTTTGGCTCCATTTGCGCCACTTACTATTTCTATATTGCGATCTTTAAATATATAATCTACTATAGCCATATTCCTTTTTGGAGTATCATCCATAAGAAGTATGTTTGAGCCTGAGGCGTTAAGAGCCTCGCATTCTCTTAGTAGTCCCTTTAAATCGATCTTTAACCTGACTGTTTGTGCGGGCATCCTGGGATTTTAAAATAAAAAATAATTTAAATGAAAAATCTTGCCTTATTCATACTACAGGTGATATTTCTATGGATTGTTGGCAAATTTTTCCTAAAAATATTAAATTTATTTTTAGTGCAGGGCAAGCTTATGTTCTCTTAGAAACAGCACTTATTTTGCCAGATTAAGTATCTGTTGGATGCAGATGACAAGGCATGCTAGAGCGCTAGTAAGAAATGTCAGATAAGCAGGAAGAGTGGTGCCATTGTTGAGAGAGTATACTGTGTAGGAGTACTGGATATGTGATGAATGTGGGGCAGTGAGTGTTTTCTTTTGCAGGTTGCTGTGGGAAGATAGCAAGAAAAAGTGCACAAATGGTCTAACATATAAAAAGTCTGTAGTTTATTTTAGATATGAACCGGTTGGGATCAAATGTCTTAAGACTTCTTTGCTTAGTATGCTTCTCTGGCTATACTCTTTTCTTATTGCAGTAGCTGATTAGCTAACCCTGTTCAGTTTTGTCGTATTCCTTGAGTAAGCAATAAACAAGGCTGATGCTATTAAAAAAAGAACTATGCCTGCGAGAATTATAATCTTCTGCGTTCGAGATAGCTTTTTCGAATCATTTTCAGTTGATGGCTGTTCTTCGTGTAATATTTGTTCTTCGTGTAATGGCTGTTCTTTGGATAAAATCTGCGCTATATGCTCGCTGATAGAAAGGACTATCCGCAGGTCTTCTTCAGAGTCGAACATTTTACAGACTTGCTGACCTATTGTGATAAGCCCAAGCTTAGAATAAAACATCGTGTTTCTAATCGCGTGAATTTTTTCATTGATAAGCTTTATACCATGATTAATCAGCAATTCATCGGTATTTTCATATGTTTTAGTGTATAACTCATCTAGTGTGTAGCTGCTTTCTATTTCTTTTATGGGCGAGAAATTTCTTAAAGGTTTCATACTCGTCGACTCTACTAGTTTTGAAATAGCAAAGAAATTATCTCTTTCCAGCCTCTCTGTCGTAGAGCTAACTATGCTTTTCAAGCTAGGAAGCTTTGCATTATCGATCTCTAGTGTGCATGTTCTGGTGCCCAGAGCATCATCGCTCGCATCTGAACTTATTTGTTTCACTGCTTCACTCTTTCTTTTTATCCCATGCTCTGGGTTGTGTATAAAGGGGTTCATTATAATTTCATTGGCTAGCGCGATGGCATGGGATCTGATTGATTCTTTGTCTTTATTGTTTATTGCGCCGTTTAATTGACTTATAGTCTCACTTGCTACATTCTTACCGTATAAAAAATATTGGCAGATGTCATTCTCAACTATGCTTCTGATGTCTTGATTTTGATCGTCATCTGCTTCTTCTATTTTTATGTTTTTTTCAAGAATGCGCTTGAGTATGGTGAAATTGCTTATTTTGTCATTGGATTTAATGATCATCTTTATGGCATCCATGCCGTTCTCATCCAGGCATGTCTGCACCATTCCTTCGATGTTTATCACTAGTCTAACTTCTTTCTTAGCTGCCATAAAAATTTTAAAGAATACGGAATATTTTAATTTACTCTCAAGTTCATTCTATTGGTGCTTTTATTTTTTCATTGGCTAGATTTTATAGGAGTGGATGGTTGGCTTACTATCATTAAATATGATCATTTCTGATGTATAAATACAAAAATAGCCCTGTAAAGACCGCTAGGGATGGGAAAGCCACTAGAGACTCATTGGCTATCTGTGCTTGTCTGAAGGCTTTCTAGCACATTACTGGCTGTCGCTATAAAACAGTGCGGGTGTGCTCGAATTTTATGTCCCCTTTTAGAATTTTAAACAGTATTGCTGACGACAGGACCACAAATATCACCAGCACTACTACAACGGTGTAAGCCAGCGCAGTGAGTATTTTGAGCACTCTCTTCTCTGTTACTTTTATTGAGAAGAGCTTCAGCACTATCTCCACACGTACGTTTATTTCTTCTCCAAACTCTTCCAGCTTTTTGTATACGTGCTCCTGCTGGACTGTGCTCAGCTTGGGCAGAGAATACAGGTTGTCTCTGATGTTGTCAAGCTGCAACAGCTCTCCCTTTTCATCGCACTGCAGCAGGTATATTTCATTCTCTAGCCTATTGATCGAGCATGTCAGTGTTTTAATCTCTTCTTCGCTCTTTCCTTCCTTTTTTGCCTGGTCTCTGTCTGCTTTCTCTTTTTTCAGGGTTTCATTCTTCTCTGTTATTGTGTTGACTATTTTATTTTTTTGTTCGCTGATCATGTTGTATAGGCTTCTATCCCCGTCTATGTTGTTTCTTTTCAGGTTAAGCAGCTCAACAGTTATATCCAGGACTCTTGATCCATCTTTTCTGTCCAAAAGACCAGTGCTGTTCGCCATGTACTCCATTGCACTGGCCATGCTCTTCTGTGCTATTTTTTCATCCTTGATCTTTTGTATGTTCTCTCCGATGGCAACGGCTACTTTTAGCTCTTTCTTGGTCAGCACTTTGCCAATCTCTTTCATTATCTGCGCTCTGCTATTGAGATTGCTTTCCATCTTTTTAATTTTGCCAAGGAGCTCTTTTATCTTGTAGTGCTTTCTGTGGACGAGTTTCAGCCCGTAGTCCACCAAAAGTGCACCGGTTTTTTTGTGTGGAGTGGTGTACAGCTTCTCTAGAGTGTAGTGCTCTTTTTCTGCTGAGTATTGCTTTAGAATGTTCATGTCCATGCCTGCTGAGTCTATTAGGTCTGCAATGTAGGAGAGCCTCTCTCTGTCCACACTCTCTTCAGCCAGGTCAAGTATCCTTTCCAGGCTCGAAGAGTCTGTGTAGTCAATCTCGAGTCTGTACGCTCTTGGGCGCAGATTAACTTTTTTATTAGGTAGTATTACACTTTCCAGTGGCTTGTTCTTGTCAACCTGTCTATGTATTCCGTGCTTTGGGCTGTATATGAGAGTGTTTGGCTGTACAATGTGATCAAGTACATGCGCAGCTTCGGCTGTAACCAATTCCTTGTCTCCGCTCTTCAGCGCAGTGTATAGCTTATTCATTGCACTGACTCCGTGTTTATTGTATGTGAAGTACTGGTAGATTCGGCTTTTGAGTATTTTTGTGAGAGAGTCCTCTTCATCCTCCTCTGCATCGCCTTCTATCTGTATTTTGATTCTGTTGCTGAATATGCGGTCTAGTATGTCTGCATAGTCTTTTGGTGCATCGTATTTAAGCAGATCGTCCGCGCGTTTAATGAGCTTGCATGCTTTTATTATTTTTTTTACGTCTATCTTTAGTTTAACTTCTTTCATGCTGATATAGCTGTTCAATTCGAATAATTGCAATTTATTGAGCAGTTCATATGATTTGTTCTTTTGTTGCAGTTAATTGACTGAATATTCTCAGAGCAGCTGACTGGTTCACTAGGCACTAACTACTTCATTTGCTGTGTGTGCACAGATTGAGTGCAGTGCTCTATTGGCCAGTGTATCTGTGCGGTGATTGATCAGTAGATATAGCTTGAGGATAGAGACAAGTTTGATAGCTCTCTGTCAGTACCAGCTATCTGTGTGTCTCAGTCCTTCTCCTTTGCAGAATAAATGTGCTATAAACTCTATTTCTAATCTATCTTGTATATGTGTCAGTAAAGGAAACAGGGCAAAACAGATGTGTGGTACCAATGCTGTGCATCTATCTACTCTGCACTGACCTTGTGGCAGCAGGCTGCAGCAGGAGCAGGCTCATAGCGCAGTGTGCAAACAAATTTAAATAAGTGTATAGTGTACAAAAAATAAAACAAAATAAAATAAATACTAAGTCTATAAACTAGCATGTACATTTTTATTTTTTATTTTACTTTTATTTTTATTCATGTTTAGTAGGCTGTTTAGAAGAAAAGAACACACTCAAGATACAGTCATCGAAGAAGTGCTATAAAAAGGTTAAAATGAAAATCTAGCTCTATTAGAGCGCATGCAGAGTATCAGCATGTGATAGCAGTACTCAACTAATGGTATAGAAATACGAGTATGCATAAGATTAAGAGTTATTTAGCGCTAGGTCAAAATTGACAGCTGAGGCATATCAGATTTATTTGTGTTCTTATCTACACTCCACTGCATGGTATAGTGTTTCTTTATACATTTATATCACCTAGCTATTAGCAAGTTTCGCTGCATTTCTAGAAAAACTGATAAATACTATAGATATTATAAGAGATATAAGAAAAACCATGAGAATTACAGTTTTCTGCATCTGTATTATTTCTCTTTCCTTGAGTTCTTCTGACTCTTCTAGAACTACTTCTGATTCTTTAGATACTTCCAATATCTGCGGTGCTTCTTTTATCTCTTCTTCTTTAGATACTTCCAATACCGGCAGTGATTCTAATCCATCTACTTTTATTTTCCGTGCTTTTGCAAACTTTTGTATCCCTTTGAGTATGTGCTCTTCCTGAATTGGCTTTAATTCATCTAACGGATTAAATGATTTTGCATGAATAGCACGCGATTTCGAAATTGCTCTTCTACTATTATATCTTAGTAAATATAGGTCATTTTCCAGATTATTAATAGAGCAACTTAATTTTGTAATACTTTCTTTATCATTTTTTTCCACTGCTTGATCATACTCTATTTTCTTTTCTCTCAAAATTTTCTCTTTCTCGTTTATTTCCTTAGCTAGTTTAGAAAACTCTTCATTCGCTATTTCCTTTAAATCGTTGCCTCTAGCTACAT